AGAAAGAGACAGAATGCGAAAAATCACCTGGGGGTGATTTTCGGGGTGGGGCTGGGCATGCTGCAATTCCTTTTCCATTCTCCTCTTGGGATCTTGGGCACGCATGTACATGCGCCCAGCGTGAGTTTAATCCACAGGGTCCAGGACTCAAATTGTAGCCGACTACTTCGGAGTCCAGCAACATAACCATTATGCCATCTGCTGGTCCCTAAATAATTCTTTTAAAAAAAGGGAGTGACGAGGATGTATACTAATCTAGTGAACTGATTAGATTTCTTAACTAATATCCTTATTGTAAGAGATCTAAATCCACTGCTTATTGCTCCTATTGTACTTGGAATGGTTCTGGCATATAGTATTTGCTACTGTATTAGCATTACTATTCAACGAGGTACAGGTACAGAGCAAGGGTGAGCACCCACCTACTTACAGTCTCCAGAAACAACATATACCTGTCTCTGACTTGTCAAAAGGGAGCAGCGCAGGACGTATAAACTGCCAACAACTCCTGACTACAAACATAGGAATACAAGATATAGTCTGTTAGCTTCACATTGCTAGAAGCAGATTAGTCAGTCTTGAAGAGTTGTTTTTTGGTTTTTTTGTTTTTTGTTTTTTTTAGAGACATTTTTGCTATAGGGCATGTGTGCTCACTGGAGAGACAGAGACAGAGAAACAAGAAGCAAGCAATCACCACCACCACTTCCCCAGGGGAATGGCCACACCACAATCCCTTCTCTATTTTCCTCTAGGGATTTTGGGCCTGCACACTCATCCAGCCTGAGTTTCAATCCACTGGGTGGAACCCAAACCATGACCCAGAGATGTAACCATTACACCATCTGCTGGTCCTAAGGAAGATTTTTTTTTTTAAGGTAGGCTAACCCAGCAATAGGATGCTAGATGCTGCTGCTTAGCAGGCTGAGGCCACACGAGAAGCCCAGGTTTAACTCCAGGCCCACCCTAAAAAATCAGGACAGTGGTGTGTGCCTGTGGTGCCTGCTACTCAGGAGCAAGGCAGTAAGATCACAGCATATTGAGACCCTATCAAAAAATTAAAAGTAAGGTTGGGACCAGCAGTTAGCGTAATGGCTATGTTGCTGAACTCCCATGTAGTCGACCGTGGTTCGAATCCCGGACCCAGCGGCTTAAACTCACGCTGGGCGCGTGTGCGTGCGTGCGTGCCCAAGATCCCGAGAGGAGAATGGAGGAGAAGGGATTGCGGCATGACCATTCCCCCCCGGGGGGGTGATTTCTCGCTTTCTATCTCTCTGCCTCTCTCTGTCTTTCTGGTGAGCGCACGAGCCCTATAGCAAAAACCTCTACAAAAAAAAAAAAAAAAATTAAAAGTAAGTAGTTCACATAAGTCAACAAGAATTGAACTAGATTCACAATCCAATCTAATCTTACTCAAAACTGCTAAGAGAATGGTTTTAGGTCCTCCGAAAAAGTGGTAGCTAGACTAGGAAAGGAGCCACTACAGGCTCCTCAGGGCACCTTAGAATATTTCCCCTATGGGACCAGCAGGTGGCGTTGTAGTTAAGGCACTGGACACTCCCACATGGCCGACCAGGGTTCTAGTCCTGAATCTGGTGGCTTGCTTTCTCACTTCCTCTCTCTCTCACTCTCAACCTCTGTCTCTCTCTGGTTAAATTAAAAAAAAAAAAAAAAAAAGAATGTTTAAATGAAATAAAAAAATTATTTTAAAAAAAGAATATTTCCCCTATCATCTACTCACAAATGACAGAAAACATCAATTTTTTAAACAAAAACCACATAGTGAATCCCAAAGCCCAAAACAAGTTACTTGATTTTCTAGTTATAATGAAGTAAATAGGCTAAAAGAGATAGGATGCATATAAATGCATTATGCAAGAAAATTAAAATTTTACAAACAAAAACCTCATATATTGGACCAATTGGTGGCATGGTGGTTAAGGCAGCAGGATCCCACGTGGCTGACTACACAGTTTATGTCCCAGACCCAGGTGCTTGAAAAACATACCAGATAGGGACCAGCAAATGGTGTAATGGTTACGTCACTGGACTCCCAAGTCATCAACTATGGTTCAAGTCCCAGACCCAGTGGCTTAAAACTTGTGCAGGGTACACATGCGTGCGTGGTTGTGGCGTGACCATCCCCCCAGGGGTGATTTCTCACTTCCGGTCTATCTGATACATGCACCCTACAGCAAAAGACTCTCTAAAAAAGAAAAGAAAAATACATCAGGCGTGTGTGCATGTGTACCCAAAATCCCAAGAGGAGAATGGAGAAGGAAGAAACTGCAAGGTAGTCATCCCCACAGGAGTACTTTCTCATTTTTTCTCTCCTCCCCTCTCTCTTCATGTCTCTCCAGCAAGCACACACGCTCTACAGAAAATTAAAAAACAAAAACTGAAACTAACATAAGTAATAAATACCTTAAATATAAGGAACAAACACAGAGACATAGCCATTTTGTTTTAGCCTAAGCTTTATGATACAAACTTTTCTGCAGGTGTAAAAAATGTGGAGTGACATGACAGAAGATTACTATAACCTTTAGTTCCAAGACTGTAACTACTTGTAACACTCTTGTCCACTAGGAAAGACTCCACAGTAGCACTGGTTTTCTTCCTTCTATAGATGTCAGAAAGTACTGAAATGTTATGAATAGTCAGTTGAAACTCAAGACATAGGCCATGAGGCTGCACCAGCCCACTAGATGGCACCATCTCGGAGAAGTCACTCCCACTTGGAGCAAGGAGGGCTGAAACCTCTCCTGATCTTTGCAAAACTGAAAGCTGTCATCAACACAGTGATATCCTCATTGGGAAACTATGACCTATAATGAGGAATTCTAAGCCAGGAGGAATTTTTCTTTTAAAGAATCCTTTCCTCTCAGTACTATCATCCCCGCTCCACCCTCATTTCTAATGAATGATCTGAGAGGTACAATGTCTTGCAGGTAAAGGAAGTTGAACAAAATGAAGATTTTCTTTACCTATTCCTACAGACCACAGAATAATTTACATTCTTGATTTGTTTGTTTTCAAGTAGTTTTGCTACAGACAACAGAATACTCTCTTGTGAGTCCTTAAATAATACATTTACTGTAATCAATACACTAGAAACATTAAAGTAACAATAAAAACAACTGCATATGGGTGATTTTCTTTCCCTGTACAGAGGTTTTTTCCTGATGCCTCAGCACATGATTTTAAGTTGAATGTAAGCAGCAAAATTCAGAACATCACTCATTCTACCACATATGTCCTACCCCATCAAAAGCATACTTGGATACAGCCATCACCGACCTAAAAGACAAAGGCCAGGGTTTAAACTATGTATAATTTGCTTGGTAGGTCGGAGACCATTTGAACAGAAATTTGGATGTGAGCCTTATGTTGAATTTCCAAGTTAAAAGACACATCAAAGGTCATCATTAAGTAATCAAATGACCCAGAGATCAATTGAAAACTCAAATACACTGCTCATTTCTATCTGAAGCTACTTCACCTAGATCAGACTATTTCTATCTGTACATGTAACTTCCATACATAACGCTCAGGAGTAAAGGCACCCCAAAGTGACACAAAAGTCAGTTATCTCGTTAAAGTGGCCCAAGATACCAAGAATTAATGTGTAACAAGTCCTGTGTCCCACAGCCCCTGGTCACAGCTCCAATCCAGCCCTCATCACAGCACCCTCCCTCTTCACCCCATCTCTCCTCATACAGCAGGTATACAGGTGCTGTGCTGAGGAGTCATTCCTAACGCCTTGCACCGTGTCCAGCATGCAGCAGGCACTCAGTATCCGCTGAATGAACGAAAACCGTCACGCTATCCAGCTCGTCAAAAATATGGGACCCATAAAAAAAGCCATTTTTTCTAATTAAACCTTTACACACACCTTCTCCTGGAAAAGCTATTAACCAAAGCATGAGACTAATACCTAGGTTACCAGGACATAGGATTTCTTGAAAAGCACCGAAAGAAATCTGTCACCTTGATTACTGAACTACAATTCAACTGTTCACACATCTCAAGCCCAAGGAACACAACAATCTTGGCTCAGTGAAGCTTCTATATAAAACATCATAAATACACTTTACAGACTGCACTAAAAATCACCCAATGAGAGCAGAGGGATGCACTACCATAGTAGGTACACAGCGAGGCACAGGAAGCCATAATATGGCTTAATGTCATACTCGCCCATAGTAGGGGCTTACTCCTATTTTATGTTCCTGTGACAAAGTAAAAACAGTGAACAAGAAGGCAAAATAAGAGTGAGAAAGCAGTCTGGGGACCAGCTAATGGTGTGGTGGTTAAGGCGGTGGGATTCCACACGGCTGACTGTGAGGTTCAAGTCCCAGACCTGGTGGCTTGAAAAACACACTGGGCATGTGTGTGTGCACACAAAATACCGAGAGGTGAGTGGAGAAGGGATTGTGGTGTAGCCATCCTCCCGGTAGGTGATTTCTGAGTTTCTCACTTTCTCTCCATCTCTCTCTCTGGTGAATGCATGTGCCCTATACAAAACTGAGGAAAGAAAACAAAAAAATGAAGCAGTCTTGGGGAAGGGGGGCGTGCAACCAGAGGAATCTGCTGAACTACAGATGTGGAGAAATAACTCTACAGAGACAGAGCTTTCAATACCATATAATATCCCAAAAGCCAGTGTAATGAAGCTACACAATGCCTTATAATTAAAATGTTTTCTAAGTGACTGAGAACTTTTTATAAAACATGACAGAATATGTTAGTATCCTTGCAATAAAACCCATAAGAAATCTTTTCTATGTTAAAAGGGAAAAAGAAGCAGATACTCCCAGACAGACCACCTTCAAATGGACTATTAAGTGATCACTAGAACAACTAGAATTTAAAAGTTCACTGGAACCAGGAGCCAAACCTTCTGCCCTGTGATCTATCAGCACGGTCCACCCAAACTCACAATCATTAGTTAAATGTGTTTAGTGTATGAACAGTGTGCTCACTATCATCATTTTACTCACCTTACTAACACCAACTCCAGTAAACCTGGCCTCTAGTAATTCCTGCCGTCGTGGGTCCAGGCTATGCAATTCTTCCATCATTTCTACTGGAAAAGGAAAAAGCAGGCCATGAAACCACAGAAACTGAGATGTATGGAATCAGTTTTGTTTATGACAACACTCAGAGGTTATCCAACTCAACTAGTTACATACAGGCAAACCTGGAGTAAACACATCACAAAAGTGATAAACTACAACACACTGCAACAAACAGTAATAACACATTTAAAGTTATACAACAGCTCACAAGTCCTCTTCTATGGAAGGTCACTTATGTTTTCCTTGGTTCTAATTTAACTTGAGGAAGAGAAAAAAAAAAAAAAAAACATCAACCCCTTCACATAATCTTTGTAAAAACTGGAAGAGAAGTTAAAAAAAAACAAACAAAAAAAAAAAAACAAGGGCTAGCTTACAAAAAGAAAACCCTTTCTATCAACCTTTGTATCTAGTTAAGCACTTTCTTTTTCTAAAGTAATTGTTAAGTTTATTTAGTTATTTTTTCAGTGAGAGACAGGCAGAGAGGAACACCTTCAATGGGGTGTTCTTACATGATCCACACTTCACCCTTGGCCTGGTGTAGGCAGGGAAACTGCAGGACCTGAACCCATACCTTCCTATATGGCTTCAGCACTGAGGAATACTGCATTACCACTCTGACACCCATGGATGGCCTAGCTAAGTACTTTCAGGTATTTCTTTCCCAAACACACAGGAACTAGTTTTTAAACTAAAAATATGAATCATTACTAGTAATTTTAAAAGAATATAGCATGAATCAGAAACTACAAATAACTTCAAATAATCCCATCATACAGCTTTCTCTAATGAGCACACAGCAGCTCATGAAAAAAGATTTTTAATTTAATAGAGAACCCATGGAAAATCATCAACCTCAATTCACTCAGGAAATTAATAAAACTCCATAACACTCCCTTTACAAAAGCTTCTTCTGACTACTCTCTCTGATCACTAGGTTTCTCTGGACTCTGGACATCTGCTTTTAGCACTCCTTCCAAGCAGGGAGGGGCAGAAGGACACCATTTTTAAACTCCTTCCATGACCAATGAATTCACAGACTACCTTCAGCAAATATATTCATCCTTTGCAAGAGGATCAACTCTTGCATGATCCATTGAACATCGCCTCTTTAATATTAAAAGTGAAAAAGGGGCACATATTATTACATAGAACTCCTCTGAACATATTAGTTACTGAATGACTGGTGTGATTTTAAAGTTCATTGAAAACATGCATTCAACATTCTACTCTTCGCTCTAACAACTCCACAATTTCCAGTAACAACCCCTCCAAGTCCACCAGTCTCATTTCCCTTCCCAAATCGAGAGTCTGGGGAAAAGGGGAATGAAACGGTGACAAATTAAAGTTTCATCTGCATATACAAGTGCAGCTTAGAGACAGGATTAGGAAATTCTCAGAAGGGCAGGAAGGCCTCTTTAATAAAGGAAACAGAAAGGGAAAAAAGACTGAGCGAGCGAGTTGCCCAGAGTAAGTGGCCTTCCTCGCCTCTCGCCCTGGCCCTGATCGAGGTCGGAAAGGCAGTCTCTCCCAAACCCCAAGGTCTTTCCCAACATTTCCCAAACGTCCATCCCCAGGCCTGGCCCGGAAAATGACGCCCCGGCGGTTATTCCATTTAATGTCAACTCATGTTAAGGAAATATCCACTCCGTCTCATTCCAGCGGGCCTCGGACTGGGATCCTCCCTGCAGCCCAGCAGGGAAGCAGGACCGATGGGGCCTGGCCCCAGCGCCCCTCGCCGGCTCCAAACTTTCCCCAACTCCAGGCCCACCTGTCACGGAGGGAGGGCGGGCCAGCTCTCGGGGGCGCCCGGGAGGCTGCCGGGGCCTCCA